AACTAGCATCTACTTTTGAAGATATAACAATGAAGAGGTAAGTCCCAATATCTTACAAAGGGTCAGAGATATGCACAGCATGCTGTCAGCACAGATGAGTGAAACCTAATCGACTTGGGGGGATGAGACTTGGTGAATCCTGAAGGATGTGTATGAGTTAGCTAAGCAAGGAGAGGCTGAAGTAGAGAAGAGGGCATCTTAAGGAAAAATTGCTTCAGTGAAATAAGAATTTACCCAGCACTTACTCATTGTTTTCAATGATTTGGCTTTTTCTAACCTCAGATATGTAGGATTTGATTCTAATCCAACTTATTTCTAAACTCAAATTTCCTTTGCAATATCGAATTTGGGGGAGTCAAATGTCTTGATGTATTTCTGATGTAAGTACTCCTGGGACCTTGAGGTAGATCCTTGGACATTTTAGCCAACCCACATCAATCTTACAAGTTCTTCCAGTGCACATTCCTGAAATCCAGGTAAGTGGCCACCTGTGGGTTTAGTCACAAGTTTTATCCCCGTGAAATAGGACAGAAGGGTTGAATGCTTAAGTACAAGAAGGAATGAACGATGTAGGGATGCTTTGTCTAGTAAAATAAGACAGGAAGACTTTTTGGGGACTGTGAATCTGGGGAGATCCTGGCTGGGATCTGGCCAAGTACATCTGATCTCATTGTGCTCCCAGCCCTTGATCCTCCCCCAAATTCCATCAATGAAATGGTTTGAGCAAAAAAAAAAAAAAAAAAAGACAGGAAGATTTAGGTCACAAAATGTTGGGAAGCTATTTCATGCTATTTGGAGTACAATAAAAGCTCCCTTAACCAACATCCACTTTGCCAACTTCTCTGTAGAACTTACTGATGGATGCCACAGATGCTGGGTGCTCATGACTTTCTCTAGTACCTCCAGCCATTTCTGCTGTTTATGCTAGTTGTAATTATATAAGTTAAACTGTATATAAGCCAAAGAGATATGAATTTGTATTATCTTTCTTTTCCTCATATGAACATAAACTTTTTTTTTTTTTTTGAAAGATCACCACTTCATCTATATTTGTCTTTTGTTCTCACTCCTGTCCACACAGGTACTGGATTCTCTTCGAATGCCATCAGGTTACCTGGTTCCCGGCTTCTTCTATGTACAACAGCCAGTCCTCAAGCTCGTAATATGGAATGGGCTTGCAGCATTAAGAAGCCCTTCAGACAAGTTCCCTTCTCCTTAGTGAGGGCGGAGAAGAGAGGTTCTAGAAAACTATGCACTAGGTCCGACTCACCGAGGAACAACTGCAAGAAGGGAAACGTTTAAAATTTCTTTATTTATAGACATTTCAGAACCATATAAATCAACAATGAATTTTTTAAACGTCACATACCATGTTTATCTTGAGGTACACATTGGGCCCGTTAGATAATGCTCTGGACACTAATGTAATTGTCAACTGGTAGTTAACAATCCAGGTTTTCCAAGCAAAAAAACTGCAAAGATGGTTACAAAATTTTTTGAAAAGAATATACCATTTCCATGTAAGTTAAGGAAAACTTCCCAAATTTTTAACTGAGTTCAATTTTTAGGCTTAGCTTAAACAATATTTTAAATGGAATTTAACGTGAAAATGGGAGAAAAGGTTTACAGCTAAGAAATTATCTGAGCCCTACTACATGAGATTGTAAACAAAGGAAATTCATAATCTGATAAGCTCATTACAAAATTCATAGCCTAAAAATTAGAGCAGCAAAATTACAGAAGATATTTATATATAGTTTTAACTGAAATCATGTTTACCCCGTTTCTGGCCTTCACAATGAGATAAATTTTAAAACACCAAGTTTTGAAGACTACACAATGTGATTTGACAAGAAGTGGCCATAAGAATTCCACAATATCATAACCCCACACTATGAAAGTCCTACTTTCCATCATGTGCACTCTGGGCATTTTAAGCTTCTTGTCCTAGCAGCCTGGTGCCTTTATATTACTAGAAAAATAGTGGGAATTGATATAATGGACATAGTTTCTGAAAGTCTTGTGTGTCCAACAGATTTAACTCTTCTGGTGGACTGAAGTTGGAATTTTCTTCGAACAGTTCACCAGGTTCTTTGGAGAACTGTTTTGTTTTCCAGTTTGTTATTCAAAGTGTTAATCTTATACTCTGTAGGCATGATGAGTAGTGACTTGTTATACAAAGTGTTTGGAAAATGAAGGACCCTCTCTATCCATCCACACCCATCCCCCGAACTTCTCGAGGAGCTGTATGGATGATGTGCAGGTGGTTCTGGAATGTGAGCAGAGGGTGTTTATGTACATGTCTGAAACGGTTGGAATGGACTGTCACAACATTTTTCCATGAGACTGTTGTTTTATTTCTACATGAGACAAGAATAAACACTGCAATTTAGCCGAATGGGCAGCTCGCAGCTTGCTGTCTATGTGGGTTGAAAGAGTATAAACGTAAATTTCACAGTTCATAAAGTTGAGCAGCTCAACTTAAAAAGAGAATTTGCAGGCGTGTATAAGATTCTGAGAAGGAATTGATCTGTGAGCGTTTGAGTTCTCTCTCTCAACATGAGTCAGGTCCACATTTTACATTTAGCTGCTTGGTTTGGTTTATTGCTGATTTTCTTTTCTGATGGGGGCCATGATGATTTTAGCCATGAATTTAAAGACCCCCAAAAAGAGTCCTGTTTGGACAGACATCTTCCCCCAAGCACCATGGTCACTGGACAGACTGCAGGGAACCTGCCAGAAGATGTACTCAGTCTTGACCTGGTTGGTTAGAGAAAGTTCTGCTTGTGGGAATCTCCATACATCGCTTTTCACTGCAAAATCGCAGTTCTCAGATGAGAAGAGCTGTTTCCTTCCTACCCCTGCTCTGCGGTTCTTCTCATGATTCTCTCTGGCTATGCATGCCTTGTCTAGTCAGGGGGCCAAGGTCCTCTACAGACAAGTGTTCAGTTTAGGAACAGCAATTACATATATCTGTGGCTTTAGAGATGCCAGAAGATACTTATTACAATTAAAAAAAATTCCACATCTGTTAAAGAGACTAGCTAATGGGAGTCAGAGATACTTTCTGCCTCCAATGTATTCCAAGTTTTAATGGTCTTGTGGTGTTTATTTTATACCCCTTTAATAGAGGCTGCCATTTCTTCAATCTGCAGATTCTTCACAGACAGGGCACACTTAACTCTCTGTACATCTAACTGCCAGAGGATTTCATGTCTCTCTTACCCACACATACGCAGTCTCAACAACTGTGATTTTAAATATAAATATTATGAGTTCCAAGAGGGTAGGAGCCTTGTCTTTTTTTCAGCTTTGTCGCTTCATACCAGCACAGTGCTCAGCTCACACAAGTTCAATGAATCTGAATACAAGAATCAAAGGCCATAATCCCCGCCCTCAAGGAGTCTCCACACTGGCATCAATATAAACTCAGGACAAATATGCCAAGACAAAAACCAGAAACTATTTTGTGTAGAGATTTTGCAAAAGGAAAAACAAAAAGAAAAGGAAAAAGATAAAAGGAGTCAGTTGTTTATGTGGGGCAACCTTCATAGTAGACTCAAACCCACCCTGTTCCTCTCTCCTGAATTTGAGAATTGTGTCTAACGGCTAAGTGTTTTAAAACAGATTCTGCAAGGGTTTGCCAAGGAAAACCTGCAGCTTTTCAATTGCATCCTGTTTTTATTTTAAAGGAAAGTTCTGAGAGGTTAACTTTACTAAGGGAGTTGCCCCACACACAGAAGGATGTTTTCTAAACATGCAAGTAATTGAGGGGTCTCATGTCATGTGAGTGCAGTACTGGAAACTTCTACATAGATTTGTCAGTTACTTTGGAAGAGGTGCTCCAGTTTGACAAGTTTTACAGGGTACTCTCTTTATGGGGTACTTGTTACCTCGAGTATAGTATTTACATTTTGGGAGACATGTTACAGGGAAAAACGCTGGTTTTTTTTTTTTTAAAGGAGATTTAAGATGGAAAATGAGAAGAGGTATCAATTCACCTCAACTCTAAACCATGAGATGGATTAAAAATATCTTTTTAATGCCAAGAAATAAACCCACATTGGACAGGTCTGCAAAACTAGACTGGTGGGTCTTGTCTTTACATTTGTTTGTGTATTTTGGTGAGCAGGAAGAGCAGATAATAAAATATAAGCCAATCCTGCAAGTCATGCTGACATCTGGGTGGCTAACCTCTATCACAGCCTGTCTGTACATCTAGAATCAGACTCCGGCGGGAGGCAGGGCTACAGATACGATGGCTTGCTTAGAGAACTAAAACTTTTCTAAGATTTATATTCCTTCAATAATGATGATGAGGTCATTATATTTTGGATTATTTAATCACATTTGGCAAAAATTGTCAGAATAATGTCCCGGAATTCTTGGAATAAAAATATGGTAATAATCTTTCTTTGGAAGAGAGGAAAGAAGAGATTTATGAACTAAACAAGCCCACTTATTGATACTTGTAAGAATTACTCAACAGATGTAGCACATATAATAACAGAGATGGTATGTCTGATTTCCGAGCTCTCCTAAAGCACAAAGCACGTTGAGAACACCGAACACACTCTCAGAAATGCCCTTCAGAGCGCTCACTGTCAGACGCCAGGAGAATAAGACCGTCAAACAAGAGAATTACCATTTGACAGAAATTGTCATTTCCTCAGACATCAGCACGGGAGTATTATATGCAAAATCCAGCCCCACAATGGGCTTAAAATCAAATTTAATTCTTCAATACAGACTCTCTATTGATTTGTTCCAAGTTTTCAGTGATGAAGCCTAATAAGACTGAGCCTTGAGTGACAGGGTTCTGAGAATCTTTGGAATCATTCTGTCCACTATTCCTAGAAGAGTCAGGCCCCAAACCTCAATGGATATTTGCTAGTGAACAGATGTTATCTAAAATATCAGACTCATAATGATGTTTAAAACATATACATTTATATTGTGTATACACATATATACACATATATGTATATATTGTTTTTTTTCTCTGCTTAATAAAATTAGCAGCAGTTATAGACAAATTATTGTGGTCGTCATTTGTATTATTTCTAAGGATGTCTTATATGCTCTATCTACACGACTTTTGGAAAACGCCTTTTGATGAAAAGATCCCCACCAAGCATGTAACATTAAAGTGTCATTTCATATCACTAACATTTTCAGGCACAAGAGTAAAACAATTAGCATTAAGCAATCCAAACAGAGCACAGAAGAGAGTTAATTGTCTAAAGTCGATTCCCTCCAAAGGAGGGAACTGTTGTTCAAAGTATTTTTTTTGTTTTTTTTAAGATTCTTACGTCTTTCAGCTTTGGCTATTTTGTAATAAATATCATACCTTCTCACATACACCTACTTGGGTAAGAAGTATTTCTCTGAACATGCCTTTTGTCTTTTAGCAGCTGTTGAGTGTTGAGGGACGTACAAGGCACACCTCTAAGTGTTCTGTACAGCATTTTTATTCATGTACAAAATAGCCTGTTCACCATTCAAAAACGTAATCTGCATAGTAAGAGTTTCTCTTATCCCTATTTACAGAGAAGGATTTTAGTGCAAAAAAAACATGAACTTGTGTCCCAGCCCACCCCTTCTAGCACACACATGTATCAGTTTTGTTCAATACTAGCTGGGGTCATTTGGTTATATTTTGGGCCTCCAGCCATTAATGAATTGCATGATTTTCTTCACCTGCAGTTTGCTCAATTTGAAATCCTCTGACAGGATTTCTTCTGTTAGTTGAACAAGCAAATTCCCATCAATCTTTTCAGTAACAAAGAACGATATGACATCTTCAGACAAACCAATAAACCGTAACGACTTGGACACTTCTTCTATAGAGAGTCCCGACAGGTCGGCAGGGGGCTGCCATGGGGAACCATCGCCGCAGGACCTGGGGGCCAGCTGGAGGTGGAGCGGAGACGAGAAAGGGTAGGAGACGGAGAAGATGTCCTGCATGCCCTTTTTAACAAAGTACTGGTCCTCAGAGAGGTCTGGTGACCCAGCCTTGGGGTCCTCCTCAGCACCATCGATTTTCAGAGGCAAAGGAGAAGGTTCGGAGGTCGCTTTCTCTTCCACTAGTCTTGGGGCCCTGGGGGGTAAGGCAGGGCACGAGACACTCTGCTTTGTTGTGCCAGCTGCAAGAGTTTCCTCATCCGTGCTCTCCAGAGAGTAGCTGGCTGACTTGGGACAACCAGAGACGCTGCTACTGAATTCTGCAGTGACTGAGCCAGGCGGGCTGGCTGAGAGCTCACAGCCATCAACATCAAACGGTGCTGGGCAGTTTCTCTTTGGTGTGCCTGGCGTCTTTTGTCTGGGATAACTGAAACTCCTGCTTGGGTCCAGCAGGAAGTCACTCCTGGTCTGGCTCTCTGACACTCCCGAATAATGGTTAGGCCACGAGAGCCTGGAGGAGAGAGCTTCAGCAGAAGGACTTCCGAACGGGGACTTCAGGTCCACAGAATCAGTCTTCACTCGGTTACACGGATAGCAGGAAACAGGAGCACTTTCAGAAGGACTTGTGTCACTTTTAGTAACGCTGCTTAAAAGCAAACACAGGAAAGGAGATTAGTAAAACAATAAAAGGCAAACCCCAGGCCTTTCCTTATCCCATAGATGTTACTTCTGAGTAGAAAAATGTAGGAAAAATTGAGGAAAAAAATATTTCTTATTATGGAGTCAATAAAGTACCTGCTAAGCTCGTTGGTTTTTTTTTTTTAAAAAGTCTTTAAATGACTAAAATACATTGGTAATTATGGATACGAACATAATGATTTAAAATACTACAGTGGCGATGGCAAATATATAATTTTTTTTTTTTTAACTACGAAGAAAATCATTGTTAGTGCGTGCCTGGATCTTTATGATGAGAAAAATTCATAAGCCATGTTTGGGCTTATCATCAACAGGTGCTGTGATTGATTAGTGATGTCTGCAGTGGGCAGCGGAGGAGTGAGAGAGCAGTAAATGGGTGCCTCATGCTGCCATCCTTGTGCTACAGTGACGTGACCACCTCATCACCATCTGTGACTCTATTTCCATTCAACAGTCTGAGGTAGGAAGAAATGCTTCAAATAAAATGCTTACGCTTGCCTTGGTTTCTGTACAATTGAATAACATTAGACAAGGATTTAAATGTCCAGAGGACAAAAAAATACCTACAAAGAAGAGCTACTTTCAACTATAAAGATGACACGTGGAGTAGCACTTCAGCTCTGGGGCCTTATTTTAAGAGCGACAGTGAAACCAGAGTGTGCTCAGGGGTGGGTGACCAGGCTGACGAGGGACCAGTGATGTCAGGGGAAACAGCTGATGGAACCGAGGCTGTCTCTTTTGGAGAAGAGAAGACTTAGATCATAGCTGACTTCACATTTTTCACAGGCTGATAAAGAGAAGCAGGGTGGACCTAGATTGGTTTTTCTAGACATAAGAAATAGTTGAAAGTTACATGGAGATAGATTTCAACTTGATATAATGAAAGATTTCAAAAAAAAAGTTACTGGCGTTTGCCAATGACAGAATGAGCCACACTGCGAGAGAACGGCTCCCAGCACTGAAAGAATCCAGACAGGGGTGATGGCTACCTGACAGTGACGGTCAAGAGGGATTCCTGTCCTGGGTGGAAATGCAGATAGAGAGCCAATAGGACCCTTTCAATTCCAGGTCCTAGTTGAAGGTGCTGTCTGCTTGCGTTGAAGTCAAAGTGGAAAGAACTAGATGCTAGCCCTTATCACTGAATTTCTCACAGATTCTGTGTCTTCCCAGGTCACTGGCTCTTCCGTCCTAGCTCAACACCAACAGGGCCCCATCGTGCTCTTCCAGTAAATTTTTCTTTTTAATGTTGAAAAAGAACACTTCCTCTCCCACCACCTGCCTAGGTTACGGCTACTCTAAAACTGTCCTCAAGAAACCGTGACCTGGCTGATGAGAGGAATCATGTTGAAGGGGGCCCTGGCGTTAAGACTTACATGTCGTGCAGCCCTGAAGAATAGTAGGACAAGGTGGGGCTGGGAGAGCGAGTCTGCTGCCGCGCTGGCTTGACTGTGCGAGGAGGGATGGAGGGACTTGTGGACAAAGGCTTTGCGCTTCGGGGCGGAACAGGTGGGGCGTTCAGGAGCCGGCATTCTTCCCTGACCTGGCGCAGAAAAGAACACTCTGGGTTAGCAACAGACTGACAATGCCACGGGGGGCCAGCTGGATTCTGTGGGGTCAAGTCGCTACTCTTAAAACGATAACAGCAGGGATGTAAGGAAGGGAGAGAGAAGACTGGAGCAGACAAGAGTGATGGGAAACACAGAGGATGCCAGAGATAAAAACGACAAATGTCGCCTACTTGCTGGGATAGACTTATTTTGAAAGAAACTGCTTGGCAAGTGCCAGTTGCTGCTGAAATACAGCAAGTAATGTGAAATACAGCAAGTTAAAGAGCTAGTGATATGTGAGGATGTATAAAACAGGAGTATTAAGAAAATAAGGGCGATCACATAAGAGGATTAAACTCTCCTATTGAGTTGTGTTTATTTACTGCTCAAATTGAGTTCAATTTCATCCAAACCTTAAGGAAGGGTGGAACTTCTCCAGTGTTAAAGCTCCTTCTGAGTTATATTCAGGGCCTCTCACATGTAAATGTGCACATGAATCGCCTGGGGATCTTGTTGAAATGCAGATTCTGTCTCAGTATGACCTGAGACAAGCTCTCAAGTGATACTGATGCTTCTGGACCACGGACCACACTCTGAGGAAACAAGGCTGCAGATGGAGTAATGAGGCAGCAGCCCTAATCCAAAAAAAGAGTACTTTTTATAAGAGTTGCCTCTACTTCTCTCATCCTCCCTTCACCTTCACATTGGAGAGGAGCTAGGTGACCTGTAACACTGCAGCTTCCTTGAGTCTGCCTGCCATCACCCCAGTTTGTTTTCCATTCACTGCGAGCATCAGAATACAATTGGTTTTAATGAAGCGGACATATTTTTATGTACTTCTCTGTGTCAGGCAGCAGGGGGCAGTTTCTCCTTGGTTCTGCTACACAGGTAAAAAAGAACCAATTCTGACTTTGTCAAATGTGCCCTCGCCTGATTTTAGGCCATGTCCCCACCAATTTTTCCACCTTTGCCTTCCACTCCTTCCTGTCCTAGCAGCTCTGGGGGAATAAAGACAATGAAACAGCAAGCGTCCATTAGCTTTAGTATTGAGTTTGCTTAAGACCAAATGAAATGGGTTCATGTTACATTGTGTCTTCTACCACCTACACTGAACTCCAGGCCTCTAACTGGCTTCCTAGGCCTGATTCACACGCCAGAGAAAGCTAGTCAGTAAGAAAAGTCACGTGACCAAGGGTGACCTAGCAAACCTCAATTCTAAGTGAAATGGAAGCAATTTAAAAAGTCTCACCCCTTGCGTTACTTCCTGGGGCTGGGGATCATTGCTCCCATGGGGAGGACCCACAGCCCTGGTTATTGGGACCCACTGGATGCAGTGTTTCACCTGGAGAAGCTCTTGAGGCTAAAACAAAATATTCAGAGCAGCCGATTTTCCTCTCCAACAGCTGCAGGCTTTCCTCTTTTGACTTCTTAAAAAGGTGGTGGATGACTGCAGAAAGAAAATCTGGGAGGAAATGAGGTTTGGACAAGGAAGAGAGAGGATCGTCCAGCTGGCCCAGGAGGACTCTTGACCACTTTGGGGTCTTTTTTTCTTAAAAAGCTGAGAACTAACTATAGACATTGAAGCTCTGGTAGGGTCACCCACTTCCTAGCCTTTGGGGGTATGTACTGGTTACAGAATAAGTAACCAATATATTGTGTCATCTTCCTTCTATCTTAGTGAATTGTACACTAGCCAATTGTGTTTCTTTCCTTTCTCAGGGAACGTCTAGAATCTAGGGTGGATGGATATAACTTTATTATACATGTGCTTGATTCTGTTTATGTTTATAGTAATAGGAATGCATGGAAAATGTGAGAAGATAAGGAGTCTGTCAGTTCACTTCTTAATTTTCAAAATAAACACTTAGTCACTTCTCAACATTGGGTTAGAAAGGAACAAGAGGAAAACATGGTTAATATTGAATTTGACTTGGAATTTTCTAAATTTTGATATTAGTCATTAAATATGACATTTTATTAGGGACTGCTTACCTAGATGTCAATTATAACACGCATTTTAATTTCAAGTAATCAGCTGACCTGGGTCTTAGAACTTAGAAGAGACGCCACTTGTAGTTGAATTTGACCTATTGGAAGTCTTCTTTTCCTGTTTTTATAACCAACCCCAGGCACTCAAGGTCATTTAGAGGTGGTTCTGCCACTTCCTTCCATAACTGGGCCGTTCCAAAGAGCTTTCCAATAGGGCTCCCACATGGCGGGGGCAGTAGTGAGAAGAAGCATTTGTAGGTCACAGCGCCTGTGAGGTGAGCCGTGGCTAACGGGGAGCATTTACAACTGAACCCCAGCATGTGAGACACAGAAAGCTTTCTGGGTGGCCACATGATTCCTGAAAAAAGTTAAAGAACTAATGCATGTACGAGAGAGTGTGTACGCATGTGTGCAAGTGTGTGTGTGTGTGTGATCTTACTCTTGGGAGATGGGATGTGGTCAGCAAAGAGATAGGAACATAGGGCCAAGAGAGATTTCCTTCCACTGTGATGAGAGGGTAGTTTGGGTATAACCATGTGAATTCAAAGGGAAAGAACTAGGCTTATTTGAAGCCTGTTTTGGAGAAAAAGTAGTTTAAAAACAAGACAAAAAATGACTTTAAAGGGACCCTGTCCATGACAAGAATCCGGCTGTAATTTTTTCGAGGCACAAATGAGTGGCTTGTGCTACACCAGGCAGGTGCTCGAGGGCGGCCCTCAGTGGGCGGGCACAGCTGACCCTGCTACACATCTCCACGTGTTACTGTCAACTTGTGGCTGCAGATGTGGTTCCTCAAATGAAGTCATATTTCACTGCACTTTATGGGAAAATTATATGCTTTGGTGGAACGTATACATTTGGGGATTCGGAAGTAACAGTGAGGGTTTACTGTGCCATCTGACTTCCTATCTCTTACACCCTTGTAACAGTCATCATTCCACTTTTCTTCGCCTCTTGATTTGATTCAACATGGGACATTTTTATCCAAGAAGAATGTAGCTGTGCTTGAAATGAATTTTATCTGACAATAAAAGGCAATTTACAAGACTGGATGGCCAATCGCCCTATTTCCAGTTTCCCCTCATATTCAATTTCACTGTTAAGTGATACATTTTCAACACATTCCTTCTAAAAGTCTCAGCATGTGGCTTTCATCATGTTACTTCCCATCTCCCGTGGCCTCCTCTGATTACTGGCTAAAGTCCAGCCTCTCCTGCCTTCCACTGAGGCCCTCTGTAGTCTTTCTAGCTGGAAGAAACTATTCCATCTTTCTAGTTATTTCTCCCACGCCTCCTCTATATGAACACACAAGTTCACGCAGTATGGTGGATGCAGTGTCACCTAAACACGCCTTGTGCTTTGCCGTCCTTCTCTCTGCTTCAGTTCTCACTGCTATCCCACCTAAATGCCAAGCCCTAAGGCCCAGCCCCCAATGTTACATGCTGCTCTGGGACCATCATAAATAGCCACCAGAACTGGTCACTGCTTCTGAACTGTACTAACACGCTGTTTATATTTACTTACTTTTCATGTACATTCAATTAGCCTGAAAGTAAAACTGGTAAGGACTGTCATCATTGTTATTACTGCCCTGTGGATGGCAGAGTGTGGGGATCTGTCACCTCTGGCACAAATGTCACACAGAATGCCAGGTAGAAGTTAACAGATGTCACAAAAAATACAAGAAAAAGGCACTTTCATTTTTAAGCCAATACCATCAGAATGCCTTTTATGTTTTTATGTGGAAATTGTTATTGATAAGTCATTTGGGCTGGATGTTAATTTTTTTGTGTCCTCCTATTAGTGCCAATCTAGGGAAAACAGGTGCCAGCAGATCTGGCACATAGGACCACCATCAACTCCACCATCGTCACATTTGACATAGTATCAGAGTGAAAATGACAATGATGGTATTTCTAAATTGGGAAATGTCGTGGCTCTCATTATTAGCAACCAGGTAACTACTATTCTAAAATGAGGATAAAATAGAATACATTGTGCCTGGTGGACGAGAGCCCTTCTCTTCCTTTCCAAGGCAGCATTTAAGACTGAACTTCAACTGGCAGCATAAGGAGGGAAAGGGACCTGGATTACGAGGAATAAACCTCCAACACTGGCACTAAGTGAGGGGCGGGCATTCTGTTTTGAGGCAGGTGTTACCACCCATCACAGGTTATGGGTGACCTTTGCCTGCTGGTAGGTAATTTCCGGTTATGAGTAGCTTGGGTGTTCACAGAGAAGCACTTGGCATCTATGGTTTATGACAATGAGCACAACATGGACTCAGGTGGCAGCAGGGAGAGCTGACTCTATCCCTACCCAGAGCCTTGCTACACGAGCAGTTCTCTGGTCTATAGCTTTTCTTTCTAGCAGTTACACTTCCAACACAATTCTCTCATCCTTGCTCCTTCACAACAAAGTCTTTCCCTCTTCTAAATGCTCAGTGTTTCAATTCTTATTAAATATAAGATACTTAGGATTAAAACAACTATCCTCAGTATTCAGTAGATTGCTAATCCAGGGCCAAATATAAAGCTAATTTATTGAAAGGCGGAAGTGGCGAGTTCTGCTCTTTCTCGAATTGTCACTTTTTTTTAGTCTATGAGGCATATTCTTAGGGAGGCATATTCAAGCAACTGCCCTCTAACACACTGAAATAATCTAATAGTGGCGCTTTGAAGTAAGTGTCTGTCCTGGGGGCTAACAGCCAGGATCATAGGCACCATACTTCCACTGTCCTTAAAAGTCTGAAGAACATGGCTATCCCTTTCCCTTTCCCTACATACTACATGATAATTCCATTTTGCTATTTATTTGTTCAAATATATGCTAAGCGCCTATCACAAGCTCACTGAGCTAGTGTTGAGTATACAAAGATGAGTAACTCATGGAATTAGTTGTGAGGGAGGGAGACAAACACATAATGGAGAATTGACAGTATAATAATAGAAGTACAAGCAAGGCTTAGCAAGGGCACCACAAATTCATTCAAGGTGGCAGGAGA